GTTTTGTAGGGTCGGTATGCTTCTCATCGGATGGAACTACTTTAGCTTCAGGTAGTGATGATAAGTCAATTCGTTTATGGAATGTTAAGACAGGATTATAAAAAGCTGAATTAAATGGTCATTCTAGTTTTGTAGGGTCGGTATGCTTCTCATCGGATGGAACTACTTTAGCTTCAGGTAGTGGTGATAAGTCAATCCGTTTATGGAATGTTAAGACAGGATTATAAAAAGCTGAATTAGATGGTCATTCTAGTTCTGTATGGTCAGTATGCTTCTCACCAGATGGAACTACTTTAGCTTCAGGTAGTGTGGATAAATCAATCCATTTATGGGATGTTAAGACAGGATAATAAAAAATCAAATTGGATGGTCATACTAGTTGTATCCGTTCAGTATGCTTCTCGCCAGATGGAACTACATTAGCTTCAGGTAGTTCTGATTTCTCAATCCTTTTATGGGATATTTAAACAGGATAAGTAAGAGCCAAATTAGATGGTCATACTAATTAAGTTCGATAAGTATGCTTCTCAATCGATGGAGCTACTTTAGCTTCAGGTAGTGATGATAAGTCAATTCGTTTATGGAATGTTAAGACAGGATAATAAAAAGCCAAATTAGATGGTCATACTAGATCAGTATGCTTCTCACCGGATGGAACTATTTTAGCTAGTATTTATGAAGACATCTAATCCCGGAAATGGGGTGATAACTCAATCCGTTTATGTTTATGGGATGTTAAGACAGGATAATAAAAAGCCAAATGGGATTGTCATACTACTACTGTCTTTTAAATGTGCTTCTCACCAGATGGAACAACTTTAGCATTGGGTAGTTCAGATTAGTCAATCCGTTTATGGAATGTTAAGACAAGATCGTAACAAGCTTAATTAAATGGCCATACTGGTTATGTAGTATCAGTATGCTTCTCACCTGATGGAACTACTTTAGTTTCCGGTAGCGATGACAACTCAATCCGTTTATGGGATGTTAAGACAGGATAATAAATAGCTTAATTAGATGGTCATTCTAGTTCTGTCTCCTCGGTATGCTTCTCACCTTGTGGAACTACTATAGCTTCAGGTAGTAATGATAACTCAATTCGGTTATGGAATGTTAAGACAGAATACTAGATAGAACCCATAGAAAAAAGTTATAAAGAAATAATACAAAAATCTAAAAATGTACAATTTTAATAGAATCAACTTCCAGAAAAAGGTTCATATTTTTCTTTTATTTAGTCATGAATTATCCTAAAATAGTTATTTCTTCAGAACCAACTCTTTATGCATAAGGTGCTTTAATTTTAAAAGGGGAATTTCTTAATCATTAAGGTTATGATTTGAAGCAATTATTAAAAATTCAGGGAGGCTACTTTTTGGAAACTAATTTAGGAAGACTACAAAAGCAGAATTGATTATTATTAAAATCATTAAGAATTTTGTAAATAACATTTATTTATCTACTTCATCTAAAACTAGATTCAGAAGTTTCGTAAAAATTTTCCTTCTTTTTGTAATATTTCTGTTCCTATAATTATTGTAGAAGGTTTATCAAAAATTTTAAAATCTAATCGTATATTTCTACCTCATTTATAACATTGATTAGATATTTCAAAAAGATTTTAACCGATTTTGTTGTCTTGCTAATTCTCCTTATGATGTAATAATCTAAACTATAAAGCTATTATTTTAATTTAAAATTTAAAGATAGTATTTAATTTAGGAACTAGAAAAGCTACCAGTTCCAGTCGATGATTGTACAGCTACATCTTTATAATCTAACAGTTTAGAAATTACTTGTTTTTAAACATCTTTTAATTCTGTAAAATTATTTTCCTTTAACATTTCAATAAAATTTGCTCACAAATTTAAGTCTTTAAAATTTGATAATTTTTTCATTACATCAAAGTAATATTTTTCTAATATTTCTTAACCCATTGGTGACCAAAGATTTAAATACAATAGCTTTACAACCCTCAGTTTCAATACTATCATTACTCTTATATACTTCTTCTTCTCGAGATATATATATCCCCCTTCAGTATAAATAGCAATTTATCTGAAACCCACAATATAAAAATTTAATGTTGTACTATATAATCTCTCTTTTCATCAAATATTGTTATTCTTGTTTCTTGTAATTTCTAATGATGAACTCATAGCAGAAATTAATGCTATTAATACTTTTTTCTTAATCATATTATTAGTATATAAGAATCTTGATATTCTTGGTCAAAAAAGATATTTAACCATTTTCAGATAAATTAAAGCTTTTATAAATAGATCCTAAATTTATTCAGTTTTGAATCGCTTTATTAGATTCTGAAATTTGAGGTTTAATTAAAAAAGGAAAATTATAAATATTAGGAACTTATAATATAATAAGAGTTAATACTACACTATCTAAAGGTTTTTTTAAGTTTTTATGGAACATCATAATCTTGAAATAATTCATAATCTGCACCTGTATCTATAACAATCACCAGATCCTATTCTCCCTGCTCTAACCAGATCTTTGTTTTGCGCTACCTTTGGAAACAAAATCTATTTATATCTAACAATACCTGCTTTAATTATTTTTCTTTTAACTTTTCATGTATCCATCTACAACATTTGTTACTAATATAATTTTTCTATTTTTCATTTTTTGATATACAACCCTCTTTATTATCTTTTTAATCCTTATTAACGCTGCTTCAATATAATAATAAACTGTCTTTTGTTCATAATATATATTAACACAATGATTTTGTGATGGACAATTATAAACTATTGAATTCTCAAAAATAATATTAAATTGAGCAATATCATTAGTTGCTGACATAAATATTGTTTTTAATGGATTTGATCTAAAATAATAGTAGAATTATTACTTAATAAAAATCTTCTTGAATTTAACTTAATAAAATACCTTCTGTCATTACTTTTATCTTTGTTTTAATCTTACAACCTGAAATATTTTGATTAATTTCAATATTAATTCTTTCCGATATATCTATTCTGCTATTCTCTTTGGTTGTGTTATTCCAATTAAACTACTTGAAGAAATTCCTGATTCATAAATAAATTGTGGAATTTGTATTGATTTCCCAC